GGAATGGCTTCCACCCCTTTATGCACCAGTGTACCAATGCCCGAGCATGGGGGCAACCACAGTGTCCTGCGCCCGAGTCAGGGACAGACATTGGGATGCCAGGTAGGAATAGTTGGGATGCTGAAAAAAGGAAAGGAAGGAAAACTTTGCCTGCAAGGATACCACCCTGAGTGTCATTTGTGGGCAAGGATGCGCCATCTCCCTTGATTTCCAGGGCTGCACCTCCCAGCTAGCAGAGCCTTACAGGATGAGAATCCATGCATGCCTCTTCAGGCCTTTTCCTCCATTCCTAAGTGTCCTTGTCCTCTCAGGGCTGTCGTCAGGGGCTGCAGAGCTCTGAGCCAAGCCAAGTGGGAAGATGGCTGAGAAGCTGGTGCCTGGGGACCTGTTCTCGAGGAAAACTCGGGAATCAGTGTCATCCCTGGACTTGGACAAGCTGGCACCCATCTCAGCCGAGGTTGGTGGTGAGGAGTCATCCGACAGCGAGGGCGAGCAGGAGGACAGTTCTCACAAGCTCATCCGGAAGGTTTCCACCTCGGGGCAGATGAGAAGCAAGGTCAGGGGTGGGGGATGCCGGCGGTGAGGGGCTGGCTGTGTGTGGGGGCGCTGCTGAGGATCAGGCAGAGGAGTTTGCCAGGGTGTAAATCAGTACCAGGTTCTTGCTGCTGGCAGACTTGACCCAGCCACAGCTGGGAGAGTTCTTGTGTCCTGTGAGAGGGCACATAGAAACATGCAACCCCCACAGTGGTAGTGTCAGCATTGGTCCCATGGGGCTGTGAAGCACAGATTTTATCCCACTATTCAGGAACAGGGTCTCTCCCATACCCAGAGAGCCCCTACCACATTGCCTTCATGCTGCATTTGTATCCCCTGGGTTCCCCTTACCTGTCCCTGGAAGAAGCGGATTCTTTTTGGGATGCTCCATAGATGCTCTGGGGCTGAGATTTAGGGTCATGACAGTTCTGTAGGCTCCTTGGATCCCACACCCTGCTGCAGGTGTTGTGTGTGCAAGGCTTGGTGGGTGGCAAAATGGAACCTGCATCTTTCCTAGTGCCCCAGATCAATTTGGCTGTGCCAGCTCCCCTGCAGGCCCCATTCCCACAGATCTAGTCCCCAGTGGTGGCTTGCTGGACAGATGGGAGCACCTTTGAGGTCAGACATGACACTCATACTTCCCAGCCACTAGCATGACAGCAGCTGGAGTGTGTGTGTGTGTGTGTGTGTGTGTGTGTGTGTGTGTCACAGTTTGCTCAGAAAAAGCTACAAAATATGGGGCGTGGTGCCTTTAGCCAAACAGGAGTGCATGGTCAGAGGTCCCAGGTCAGGACAGTGAAATGCAATTCAGGCAGAAATAACTTGGGCCACATGGCCAGGTGGTATGTGGGGAGAGAAGAAGGTTTGGGGTGACATTCTGGGGAGGGAGGATGCAGACACAGTGCTGGGAGGATGCTCTGGATGACATGCTGGTCCTTTGCATCCACCTTTCAGCTGCGGGAAGGAGGTGGCAGAATGAGTCAAGGCAGTGCCTGCAGTGTTGGATGGCACATGGGGGCTGCTAGAAATCCCCCTGCAGCTAGCTCCCGGTGCCAGCCTCTCCTCAGTGGGGATTTGGTGGCTGTGCTGTTCCAGGGAGAGGGGAGAGTTCTGAAAACACAGCACAGGAATGTAGCTGTGGAGAAGGGGGCTATCACTGCACTCTGGTGTTGGGTGCTGAGGGCATGAAGGAAGGGGAATGAGGCAGTGTGGGTCTGGTGGCAGCTATAGGGATGCTTGGGGCTGGGGCAGGCTCCCCTCCTGCTGGCTCTGTCTTGGCTGTTGGGCCAAGCCTGGTGTACTGGCATGAGGTAGAGCATGTACCTGCTCAAGGGTATGGAAATTGCATGCTCTCAACCTAGCACTGTGGGGTTTTTCCACTTGGCAGAGGAGACTTCTGGGGCATGGGGCACTGAGGGGGCTCTTACTGAGTCCCTCTGGCCGCTCAAGGAACACACCCCAATTTTCACTTCCTTGAAGCAGGCTGGCATCAACTCTGCTCTCTCCAAGTTGGCTGCCAGGTGGGTCTAGAGGGCTATGCTGGGTGCAGGGTGTTGGGGAGGAGGCATGGTGGGAAGCCAGGCCAGTGGGCAGGATCATGGGGGTGCTTAGTTCTGTGTATGAGCCCTCAGCACCCTTCTGGAAGGGCAGCAGTAGCCGCTAGAGTTTGCCATGCAGCACTTGCTGTGCTGTGGGGCACAGGGACATCACAGGCAGCCATCAGTGCCTGAAAGTCTGAGGGGAAGGGGCAGATGGCTGGGCTATGCCCATGTCCTACAGCAGCAGCACAGGAACACGAGCATGCTCTGAGTCCCAGCCCAATCGCCAAAGCCCCCAGTTCCACCAGCAGGTTCTGGCCTTGCCGCTGACATGGGGCTGCACATGGGGAAAGGCTGTCTCCCTGCCTGCTGTGACTGCTGCCCACATCCTGCTTGGCATCAGCAATTAGCCATGCAGGAGGTCATGCTGTGCAGCATGCCAGAGGAGGCAGGTGGCGTGATGGATGCGCAGGTGGAAATGACATGTCTGGGTTAACAGCCCATGGAGCTGGGGGAAAGAGTGAGAGCTGGCAGGGCTGGAGCTGATGAGGCCTGAGAGTGAGCTGTGTATGCCTCCCCTACCACATCTGTGTTTTCAGTGTTGGGGTTCAGTGTTTTTCCTGAGGATGCCTTTGCCCTGGTCCGGATGGGCAGGACCACACTTGCCAGCCTGGCGTCTGGTTGGATGGACTCCTTCCTTCCCTGCAGAGATGAGGATTTTTGGATGACATTGCTGCTGCCACCCAGGTCAGGCTTACAGCCCTGACATAGCACGTGTGCTGCCTGCCACTCCAGCCACAGCCACAGGGTGTGGGCCAGGGCAGGCACCTTCCTGAATGACACCCCTGTCTGGACATCCTCAGCACCCATGTGGGGCTGAGGTAGGGGGAGGGAATCATTGCCTGCACCCCAGGGGCAGCTACCTAAAGAACCCAGCTTATAAGGGAGTGTTCAGGGCCAGGGTGGCAGCTCTTGAGACAACAGGTGGTGTGGGGTCAGGGCTCACTGTCCTCATATATGGTGGGTGGGGTGCTTGAGAGGGTCTATAGGAGCCTGCCGTGTTGGGGGGCTAGGAAAGGTCAGGACCCCCACCCCATCCACACTGATTGGAGAGACCTTGGTCTCTGGTGATGGAAGCAGGCAGCTTCTCCCACTCCAGGCTGTTGTCCAGCCCCTGGGACAGGAATAGGTGAGGATAATTTTGGGATCTGTTGAATCCTTCTGATTGCTGCTCCCCAGTCCCAGTGCCTCTGCACTCTGAATGCTCATGCCCCTACATCCCTTTGTCAAGCCTCCACATCAATCACATACCCCCCACTCCACACCTCCAGGCTGGAACTGTGGACATCCTGTGGGGTGCTTTGTGCCAGCATTGCTGTGGAGGCGGCGAGGTCATTGTGCTCAGTGACAAAAACAACTGCCAGATGCAGGTGTCCCTGCTGGACTGAAAGGCTCCAGTATGGATGGAGTCTTGCTGACATTCCCCCCCCTCACTCCCCACCCCCAGTGCATCTGGGGGCTGCCAGTTGCCTGTACCAGGTTTTAGGTGTGCAAGTGCAGAGTGGGAGGGGGATGTGATGCTGCTTCCCAGCACTGGTTCCCTTAGGACTGGGCTTGGAGAGAAGGTGAAGGGGAGAGAGGGGCTGGTTCTGGGGCACACCAACGCATTTGAGTTGATGGGGGTGGTGGGTCACATCCTGCCCATGTGGCTGGGGTGTTCATTCCCCGGCACTGCCTCCCAGAGTGGAGGTAGAGTGTGATCCAGCAGTGCTGTTTGGTTCAGTGAGTGACAGGTCCTGGGGTGATTGCACCAGAGCTGAGTGGCAGAGGCATTAAGGGGGACACAGCGGAGTGCATGCCAGGGATCCAGGGTTGCCCGTGGCATGGGCACCATGTGCATGGCCATGGTGGGCAGGGGTAACCATGCCTTCTCTGCTGTTTGGGAAGGGGAATTGTGTTCCAAAATTCCTGATCTTGAGGTACATCACAGCTGTTTGGTGGGGCTGAGGGACCCACCAGAATCCTCCCATGGGGCTCAGGGAGGTCAGTGGGGTTATTGGTACCCTTGTCCTTGCTGCAGGTATTGAGCATCCTGCAGGCTCAGGGTGCCCCAGGAATGAGGCGAGCTGTACCTGTGCATATTGGGGCAGCTGCAGGGAACATGGTGAGGCAGTGCTGTAGAGCCAGGCTGTGGGGAAGGCTGCCCACTGAGCACTAGATCCTGGCCAGAAGATGAAGAAAGAAGGCAGAGCTGGCTGGGGCCAGGCTTGGAAACCTTTCTTCTGCAGCAGGAGGGTGGACCGTGGCTCCTGGGCAGTGTATCCTCTAGACTTGACACTGCTGGGACACTGGAGCATCTCATACAGAGAGAGCCTGGGAGGGCTGGGACTGTTCAGCCTGGAGGAGGGACTGTAACCAAGGGGTCCCCGGTTTTTGAAAATGAGGGTGCAGCAAAGGGGGAACCAGGCTCTTCTCAGTGGTGTCTGCCAATGGACAGAGATGAAAAAATAGGAAACTGCACCTCAACACAAGAAAACACTGTCTGAGACCAGGGAGGCTGGGCTTGGTCTCATTAATCAGGGCTCACCAAGCTGGTGCCTGGGGTGTGAAGATAGCCCCACTGTCACTAGCCGGATGTTTGTGAGGTTTCTCAAGCTCTCTGCCCTCTCCATGCTAACTTTTTCTGTTATGTAAATGTCGTTCTTGTCCATCAGCTCTTTCCCGCCCTTGCTGGGCAGAGTGGGAGGGCTGTGCCCAGCAGCACGGGGGCACAAGGCGCAGGGGTGAGCTACTAAAGGTTGGGCTGATGTGGGATGCTTGCTAGCACGATGCTTGGGGACCGATGTGGCTGTAGATAGGGAAGCATGACCTCATTTCTAAAAAGCGGCTGCTGGATAATGTGCTGTAGGGGGTTGCCTTTCTTCTGGGGGCTCCTTTCCTCATTCCTCTCCTCCCGTTCATTGTTGCCTTTCAGTGGTCTTGTGGGCACGATGTGATGGCTTGTCAGGACTGGTGCTGGAATCTCCTTTTAAGCATCCACCCAGCACAGGGAAGGGATATTGTGGCTGGTCCTGCAGTGGCAGAAAGCTCCATCCTCTGGAGCAGATGAGCCTGTGGGGCCATAGCACCTGTCAGGCACCGAGCCCCCTGACTGCCCAGTCCCGGAAGAGCTCTGCTGTGTCACAAAGCTTGATAAGGTTTCCAACTGACTCCAGCCTGTGGGGTGCCTAGCAGCTGGTGGAAGCCCTGCAGCTGGGCTGTTTGAGGTCTGCCAGCTTTTCTCTGCTGTCCTGGTGCCTGCTGGCTCAGCTGGGGGATGAGCTCTTATGCAACTGGACCTTGGCTTGTGCCCAGTGGGCTGCTGCAATTGGAGCAGGAGGGTGGCTGCCTGGAATGATGCTGGTGCAATGCAGGTTGGTGTGTTGACAAGTTATCCTCTTTTCCTTCTCCTCCTACTGGGTGAAGCATCGTGTGGTCACAGGGACAAGTATATCCCTTCAGGAGTGGTATAGGGTAGCCAGCAGATAGTTGTGGTTCTCACAAGCCGTATCTTACAGCATTCCTGGGTAACAACCTTCCTGGCTCTTCTCCAGGTACTCCTTCACTGTCCAAGCTGATCCCAGCAGGAAAACCCTCCTGTCCCAGCTGTGGTCAGACCTGGCTGCACAATGGGCTCTTCCCAGGAATGGTGGTAGCAGAGCTGGGAGAGGGGGGTAACAGAGCAAAGCAGCATCCTGGGTCTCTGCTTTAGGGCTGAAGGAAGGGCTGGCATTTTGGGTTGTAGCCTGACCTGGAAGAATCTCTGGACTGCAGTTCAAGCCACCTGCTTGTGCCAAGCACACAGGCAGCCAGTGGCATGATGGCCTCTGGAAACCAGCCCAGTCCTGGCACAGCATGTGTCCATCCTCCCAGGGCCATTTTTACCTATGTCCCCTCTGAGGCTCTGCTGCCACTGCCACTTCAGCTGCATCTGACTTGAGAGTGGTTGTATGTTTGCAGACGCTGTATGTTTCATTCTTGCCTTTCCTTTCCTGCCCTGTGCCTCTGGCATCCCCCCAGTGTTGGTGCTGAGTCCCCTGGGCTGGAGAGAGCAGGAAGGGACCTTGGGATGGGGCAGTGGACTGCTGGGACAGAGCCCTACAAGGAGGCTGGCCTCTGGCTGATTGCTGGGCAGGTTGTATGTGGCTCTGGGTGTGCCATCTCGGTTGCTGATGTGAGACCAGCTCTAGCTTTGCTGAGGCTCCCTGCAGTGCTGCCTTTCCAGAAAGAAAAGCTGTAGCTGGGGTGAGTGGAGGGGCTTGGGTTTGTTTTGGGGTGTGGGTGGCACACTGTGCTTTACAGCTGTGCAGTAACCGATGCAGAGCTCCCACCCAGTGAGCCGGCGCTCCCACTGTCCCCAAAACTCTCCAGCAAGAAGAGGCAGTCCCTGTGCTGCAGGTGCTCAGCTCCAGCTCTTTTGAGCTCTAGAGTACCTAATAGCCACAATATACAATTGTGGTGACCCTGGTGCTCTGGACAGGGCTTTGGGGAGCCAGCACAGCAGGGGTGATGCCACCCTGGCATGGCCTGTCTGCGCTTGCCATCGTCACCCCTTTCCTGTGTGCAGAGAGGAAACGCTGGGCGCATCCAGCAATGCAGCTGCAGCGTGGCTTCCCCTGTGTGGCTGGGCCTGCTGCTGGCCTTAGCCATGAGGTGCCTCTCAGGTGTCCTGTTGTTCATTCCAAAAGCAGAGGTTTAAAACCGTGGAGCCACTTGGGAGCTGCTCCCTGCCCCAACAGCTGGAGCAGGTGCTCCTGGCTGAGAGCCGTGGTCAAAAAATGAGGTAGGTGAGATCCCAAAACAGCCCTCCGGCACCCCAGACTTGTGTGCCTGCCTAGGCAGTGTGGGACAGCTGGACTCCAGGGCTTATTTTGGAAAGGGGACCTGCCTTATTTTCCCTAGGGAGAGGTTATCTGGCCCCATGTGGGCACCAATGGAAACTGTACCACATGGCTTCACACACCAGGGATGATGGAACCTGGATGGGCAGCTGCTTACCTGAGGAGTTTCACACAGAGGGTGTGATGCCCAAAGCAGCCCACAAGGGTGGGCATGGGGAGAGGTGCCCCCTGAGCTTCTCTGCACCAATTTTGCCGCCCCATGTTGGGATGGCTAGAGATTAGTCTGCACTGGTGGAAAACTGAGGCACAGTCCCCCCAGCCATTGGAAGTGTTGTGGTGAAGGTGGGAGAGCTCTCATGGGTATTGTGGTGAAGGTAGGAGAGTCTGCCTTTCAGGGCAGCTGCATCCTGTCCCTGGGAGGGCCAGGACTGTGACATCTTGGGGCTGGGTGATGACTTTCTGCTGCTGCCAGGAGCTGCTGCTGGGGGAGTTTTGGCTCTGACCCTCCTTTGCAGGAGTCGGTGCCACCCTCTCCGGCAGCCAGTCCTTGCTGTGTCCTGCCACCCACGTGGCCCTGGAGCCAGGCAGGGTGCCCATGCCCAGCTGGCTCCAGCCCCCGCTGTGGTAGCCCTGAGGCGCCATCATGAACCCGCCCCTTCTTCCTTCTCCTTGCCATCCTTCACCGTCACAGCTCCTGACGCCGCTCCTCACTGTCACACACTGCCTGTCCTCTGCCACAGCAGCAATGACTGCAGCAAACACGGGACCTGAGGATGCAGCCAAGTGTGTGGATGTGGTGTTTGGGGCTGGATCCCACCGGGCTATGGCAGGACCCTGGCTTGTCCCCTCCTGGTGTGGGACAAGGACTGCTAGGATGCATGATTTGTGTGTGGATCTGAGGTCACAGGTGGACCCCACTGGAAGGATCTCTGCACTCTCACAGCTGAGAGGCCAGGAAAAGGACGTGGTGTGCCCCGGCGTGCTGGCACTGGGGACCACCGGGCTGTTTGAACCTGCACCACCATTTTGAGGCATCATGATGATTGATTGACTGCAGCCAAACTCTGCACGAGTCTTGGAGAGTGATAAAGGCTTAAAACATCCCTCTTCTCCCTGGAAGAGAGGAGGGAACAATGTGGTGGGTGCCCCAGGGAGGTTCAAGAGGGTTACGCATTTGGACAGTTGAGGCTCAGGGAGCACCCCAGGCGGGGTTTTAGCTTCTTTGTGAAGGATTCTGCTATACGTGGTGCTTTGGCCATCTGGTTCAGACCTGTGGGGCGGTAGATTAAGGCTGAGACTGGGGCTGGTGCGTTTGTGGGTTGATGGGTGCCTGGCTGCCACCTGTTGCAGCACATGGGTGGGCACAGGAGTGCAGAGCCCCAGGGCCGTGCTTCCCTCACTGTGCCCTCAAGCCCGGTGCTAATTTGCCGTTAAATGTGGCTTGTCATCATGTGCCTGGATTGAATACAACCACTGTGGCAGCTAATTGCAGAGAAGCAGCTGAGCAGAGCTGCCGGTGGTGTTTAAAGAAGATACAATCAAAGATGAGGCAGTGCCAGAGCATCTCTGCCTCCTCTTTCAGGCTCATAGCCATGTTGCAAACACTAATTAATTGAGTCTTGTAAACACCACTGTGAGAAGGGTAAATATTGGCAGGTGCTGTGTTTCGGGGAGGGCAGAGGACAGGCAGCCAGGTTGCAGTGATGCACTGTGCTGCAGGGGATGCTCTGCCTGCTGCGGGCTGCCCTCAGCCCCAGGCTGTCCTCTCCGGGGGCTGTGGGGGCAAGGCTGCACTCCTGCTGGAGCCACAGTGCCCAGGTAATGCCACTTTGAAGATGCAGTTGGTATCTCTGGGGGCACTAGTGTCCTGTTAAAGGAAGCTCTCCTGGCTCCAGTTCTGCCCTTGGCTTCTAGGGAGCTGCAGCAGGGTGAGGATCTCCAGGCACTACCCTGGGGATGGAGAGGAAGCATCAACAGTGGAGCCTCTGCACTGCTGGAGACCTGCATCTTCTAGCACTGCCATGCCCAGCAGCATCCTTCCAGATCACAGGCAGTGCCCAGTACCCAGGCGATGGTAGGCAGGGAACATAATTTGCCCTGCTACGTGCAGCAGAGAGTGAGCCCCAGAATGTCCAGTCTGTGCTCCAGGGCACCCAGGGACTGGTGTTACAGGGGAAAAGGGTGGCTTTGGTGATCCTGGGGGGCTACGGGAGCTCAGGACACTGTGGTCTCTGCAGAAGAGCGTAAAGGAGGGGCTGTTGCTGAAGCAGACGAGCTCCTTCCAGAGGTGGAAGAGACGATACTTCAAGCTGCGAGGCAGGACACTTTATTATGCTAAGGATGCCAAGGTAGGCTGGAGGGTGCTTCCAACACGCCCAGCTGGTGGGGACCTGAGCCTGCCAGCCCAGGAGGGGACAGAGATCCCTGCCTGGTGCACTAGGGCTCTGGTTCCTCCCTCGCAGTCCCTGATCTTCGATGAGGTGGACCTGTCTGATGCCAGTGTGGCCGAGACCAGCACCAAGAACATCAACAACAGTTTCACGGTGAGGGAGGTGTGGGGCTACCAACTGCACCCTGTGGAGACCTCGGAGCCGCGTGGGGAGGCACTACAGACCTCCCTCATCCCCCCAGAGCCATGGAGCACTCCATAGCATGGCCTCCTGCTGCTCGAGGTGGCACTAGTGTGCCAGAGATTGCTGGGGTCTGTGCTGGGTTCTGGCTGGCCTGGCAGTGGCCTTGCGAGAGAATGTGGGGATGGTGGCTGTTGCAGGTGATCACGCCATTCAGGAAGCTCATCTTATGTGCGGAGAACCGGAAGGAGATGGAGGACTGGATCACGGCCCTGAAATCTGTCCAGAAGTGGGAGATCCATGAGGTGATGTGGGCAGGGTGCTGTATGGATCCGTATTTCTATGTGAGTGTGTTTCCCTCTGTGTGCCTTTGGTTGCCAGACAAGAGCTGTTGCCCTTGGCATAGCCCCACAAGGAGGACAGGAGCTGGGCTGGGGGTACTCGGGGGGCCAGGAGAGAGGGAGTGCCAGCTGAGGGTGCCAGGCACTGATGGGGCAGGGCTGTGCCTCCAGGCCACACAGTTCAACATGGAGCACTTTTCGGGCATGCACAACTGGTACGCCTGCTCCCACGCCCGCCCCACCTTCTGCAATGTGTGCCGCGAAGCCCTTCCAGGGGTCACCTCCCATGGCCTCTCCTGTGAAGGTCAGTGCTGGGGTCCTGCTGGGAGGTGGGCAGGGTTGGGATCAGGGCAGGGCAGCCTCTCAAGGCTGGGCCAGAGCAGGAGTGGTGCAAGGTGGTGCCCACTGCCCAGATGCAGAGGGGTTTGGGACCAGGGATGTGCATGCCGTGGGGACCTTCCCTGCTCCTCACTGCTCCCCCCCCTTGCAGTCTGCAAGTTCAAGGCACACAAGCGCTGTGCTGTCAGAGCCACAAACAACTGCAAGTGGACGACTCTGGCCTCCATCGGCATTGAAATCATCGAGGATGAGGACGGGGTAAGCCGGGGAGTCCCTGTCTGGGATCCTGGCAGGACAGATCCTCCATCAGAACTAGCCTTGCTGTGCCCAAATCAGCAAGCAGGAAGAAACTGTAGCTGTCCCCTGCACTGTGTGGCCTCTGGGCTTGGCTCTGCAGGGGCATAGCTTGGGGACACCTCCTCTGGAACCCTGTATCAGGATTCCTTTTTGCTGTCCGAGTGGGGCCACCTCCAGACATTTTCTCGGGATATGTCTGCCCTGCCTCACATGCTGATGGCTTCAAGCAGCCAGGTGGGCAGGGATGAGAGGACATGGGTGGGGTCCCAGACCCACCTTGCCCTGCTGCACGGCACCACCTCCATGGTGCTTGGGGAAAGAGGTGGCCTATGATCTTTCCCTCAAGCGTGCAGGATGCTATTGGTAGCTGCTCTTCTCTGCAGGTAGCCATGCCCCATCAGTGGCTGGAGGGGAACTTGCCCGTCAGCGCACGCTGCGCTGTCTGCGACCGGACCTGTGGCAGTGTCCGGAGGCTGCAGGACTGGCGGTGTCTCTGGTGCAAGGCCATTGTAAGGATATCCCCATCCCTGTCCCCACCCCTCTCCCAGCACAGACAGCACTGCCCCTCCTGTGTGCATCTCTGGCAAAGCTGATGCTGAGACTTTGGTGCTGCGTCCCCCAGCTCTGCTTATACAGGTGTTCCTGTGTTCCCAGGTTCACAGTGCCTGCAAGGAGCTCCTTGGCAAGAGGTGCCCCCTGGGCCAGTACAAAGTGTCCATCATCCCACCAACTGCCTTGAACAGCATCGATTCTGATGGTGAGATGTGGAGGGCACAGGGCTGATCTGGTGGGGGGGACAGGCTGTTTGGGATAGGGCTTTGAGCTCTCTGAGGTCTTCTGGAGGCTTTGGCTTGTTGCACTGTTTTGTGGGGCAGCAGGAGCACCACCTTCAGTAGGCTCCAGAGTCAAGGCCCCTCCCTTAGTTGAAGGCTTCTTGTTGCCTTGCACTCTATTTCAGGGCTTGGTGGTATTCTGTGGCCTTCGGGGTGGCATTTCTTGCTCACATGTGGCTTTAGCTGCACCTGCAGTGGCTCAGGGCATGATGCCTCTGTGCTGGGATCAGCAGTGCCAGCCCTATACCCCTGAGGTGGGCTGTCCTCTGTTGCACCTCAGTGGTTCAGCATCTCTCAAGGCAGGATAAAGCTATTGCTTGGGTTGTTTCTCAGTGTCTGAAGCTCAGCTGTTTTTTTGGTAGTGCAGAGCGCAGCTTTGCCCTGACACTGCAGGGAGAAGCCATGTGGAGCGTGGGGGGACCCCCCAGCTGTCTCCTTCTCCTGAGGGGCCCAGCTGGCCTCCGCTGAGCAAAATCTGTTCTTCTCCTCCGGATATTTCTTTCTTCATTCTTCAATGCTTTTCACCACTCAGCTCAGCCGGTGGCTCATTTGCCTCTTGTTACTCATTGGGATGCTGTCAGGGTAACAATCACGCGGCTGCTCCTCAGCTCCAGAGCCTCGGCTGCTGGTGGCTGATCCCTGGCATCATCTCTGCCCTGTCCCTCCCCAGCAGCCCAGCCATCCGTGGCTGTGACTGTTGCCCACCTGCCTAGGAAGAGCTTAGCAAGGCCTCAGTCCCCCCTTGTTCTGCCATGCTGTCCTGCTGCAGCACATGAGTACTGCTGGCAGCAAGCTTTTCCGCTGCAGCCCACGCTCTGACTCAGCAGCTCTCAGTGCTTTGTGTTACGTTACCGCTCTGCTCAGCTGGGCTGGGAGTGGAGATGGAGCAGTGGCCAGGCAAGGAGCGGGGAGCTGTGAGGATGTTGCCCCCATGCTCCTGCTGTGGTGCAGGTGCTAGGGCTCCTGATTGCAGCCCGTGGGGCTCTAAGGGCAGTAGCTGTGGGGCTGGTGCCAGTGGCATGATGGCTGATATGGTCCCTGCTGCAGCATTGCTTGGTCTGCCAAGGGAAGAAGCCTGCAGACACCAGCCAGGGAACTGGCATGGCCAACATGTGCCTGAGGCAGGTGCAGGCTCTGGGCCAGCTGTCAATCCTGCCCTGCCTTGGGCACATTTCTTTCCCCATCTCATTTCTTTAAAAACATAGTGCTTCCTCTTCCCTCTGCCCCTCACCATCCCCCAGACATCCCCATCACTGCCCCTCCTTCCCCAGCACCCCACAGGTTGGGCTTGGCACAGATGGAGTGTTCATACTCTGCTCTCCTGAAGTGTGTGTGGGGAGTGAGAGCTGGGGCTCATGTGTTTGGGCTTACTGCAGGTTTCTGGAAAGCCACCTGCCCCTCCACCTGCTCCAGCCCTCTCCTGGCCTTTGTCAACTCCAAGAGTGGGGACAACCAGGGTGTCAAGTTTCTGCGCAAGTTCAAGCAGTTCCTCAACCCAGCCCAAGTCTTTGACCTCATGAATGGGGGCCCACACCTGGGGTAAGCACCAGCCTGAGCACCCTGGAATTGTCTTGGTATGATCCCAGTGGGCACCTGGCACATCACCTAGTCCCTCTCTCCTTGCCCCCCACCCAGGCTGCGCCTCTTCCAGAAGTTCTCCACCTTCAGAATCCTGGTGTGTGGTGGGGATGGCAGCGTGGGTTGGGTGCTCTCTGAGATTGATGCCCTTGGCCTCCACAAGCAGGTGAGTTGGGAGGGCCTGGTATTACTAATGCAGGCTGGCACCGTCCCCAGCACTGGTACACTTTGTGTGCCCCAGGTGCTGCCAAGCAATGGGCACAGCAGAGTTGGGGGTGTCACAGGTGCCCTTGGGGGCTGCTCTGAGCCCCTCCATTCTGTCTTTTTCCTGCAGTGTCAGCTAGGTGTCCTGCCGCTGGGGACTGGTAATGACCTTGCACGGGTCCTGGGTTGGGGCAGCCTATGTGACGATGACACTCAGCTGCTGCAGATCCTGGAGAAGCTGGAAAGGGCCACCACCAAAATGCTGGACCGGTGAGCAGGGCATTGAATACATGCCTCTCTGTCCCCCCTACCCTGACATCTCTTGGGAAGCCTGTCCCAGTTCCTTGCCTGTCCCTGTGCTAGGGGGCCAGGAGATGGCAAGCAGCCATGGTCTCTGCTTGGCAGGTGGAGTGTGCTTACCTATGAGGCCCCCAAGCAGTCCCCCTCAGCCCTGAAGGAGGATGAAAATGGGGACTCCAACATCCAGGTGGGAACTGTTGGCATTTGGGGGCTTGAGATGGGGAGGGTAGGCTGGAGGGCAGGTTCCTGTTCAACCCAATTCAGGGACACACAGGGAAGGATGGCACAGGAAGGTTATTCTGGGGGTCCCTGGGAACTGAGGCTCTGAGGGGGTTGGAGTTGGCTGTATGCAATGAAATGAGCCTGGCAGGTCTTAGCCTGGCATGTGCAGTTGGGAGCAGGCAGAAGGTGAGGTAGAGCTAGCCTGCCACTGGCCAGCTGCTTTGGACTCTTCTGTGTGCTCCTGTTCAGCCCCTTGCCTCAGTTTCCCTCCTGATGTGACTGACCTCCCCTCTGCCCAGCAGCATGGGCATGGCTACCCTCAGTGGTGGGGAGTGGGCTGAATAAGGGCTGATCATTCCCAGTTCAAAGCTGGCTGGGCAAAGCTCCATCCCTGAGAGGGGCACATGGCAAGGTGGCAGGTGTCCAGCTGTCTCCTACCTGTGTCCCCCAGGTCCAGATCTCCCATTATGCGGACTCTGTTGCCTTCCACCTGGCCAAGATCCTGGAGTCAGACAAGCACTCAGTGGTGATCTCCTCTGCAAAGTAAGGAGGGGGCTGTTGATGGGGGTGCCAGGAGCCCCTTTTGCTAGGCTGGGGCCTGTCCTCAGGACCACTGCACCCCCCTTGGCCAGACTGTCCCAACTGGCTGCCAGCAGCTACCAGTTGTGCTGGTGCCCGGCAAATAATCCTGGCGCTGGTCCTCTGGAGCAGCGGGTGTTATCCCAGCAGGCACCCTGGCTGGCATCTGTGCCTCACTGGCCATGCTGTGCCCCTCTTGACCTCCAGCCACTTCCCTTGGCAGGTTCCTCTGTGGTACTGTCAATGACTTTGTGACTGAAGTTGGGCGGGCTTACAAGAGGGCGACAGAGAACAAGCAGGAGGCTGAGCTGATGGCACGGAAGGTGTGTTGCAGGGGAGCTGGAGGGTTCGGCCAGGCTGGTGGCACAGCCCTCGAGCAGGGGAAGGGCTGCTCTGCAGGCCTATGCCCTTGAGTATGTATTGGGGTGTGCCATGCTTGGGGTGTCCAGGTGCTTGGGGGTATCCAGGCGCTCACAGTGCCCAGCGAAGCACCCGGCATTGGTGGGGGGTGGCAGCTTGTGCCAGGTGCTGAGTGGGGTAGGTGTCCCACAGTGCGCCATGCTGAATGAAAAGCTGGACTCGCTGGTGCGGGAGCTGAATGAGGAAGCTCAGGCCATCATGGTCCCTGAAGAAATGGCACAGGCCACCCATGCTGATGTCAAGGACCAGGAGAAAGCTGACAGCTTCAACCCCAACCCCCAGCATCGGATCTTCAAATCCAAGGAGCAGCTCATGCTGCGGGCAAACAGCCTGAAGAAAGCCCTGCGGCAAATCATTGAGCAGACAGAGAAAGGTGAGGGAGCGATGTGGGCTGGCAGCTTCCCCGATGCTGCAGCAGCCTGGCAGGGGCTGTGAAGCCACACTGGGTTGGTGCTGGACCCATGCCTTTGTTCTCCCCCCGGATCCTTGGGATGGCAGCAGTGGCACCATCCTGGGCCCTTCCTGGCATGAGCCCACAGGGCTGACACGAGGAGGGGCTACAGGGCTGCACAGACTCCCTGTCACGCCCCTCTTTGTACTCAGCTGTGGATGAGCAGAACAAGCAGACCCAAGCCTACCAGGGCAGTGTGGGCCCCAGCAAGGACAGCTCGGAGGAGTTCAGCAGGGAGGAGGAGAAGCTCAGTAAGATGCCAGCAGGGCATGTGGCATTTTGTGGGCGTATGGGGGTGAGCTGTGGGATGGGCTCAGGGTGAGAACCCTTGTAGCAGCTACCTCCCTGTCACCCTGGCCAGGCTCCCGGCGGGTGACGGTGACCTCTGCGTCTTCCTCCATCATCCTGGACCGGCCAGACACCTTTGGCAGCTTGCAGTTCCCTGAAGACCCCGGCACCCTGTGAGTCAGGTGTTCTGCCTGCCCCAGAGACCTTGGCCCACTCTTGCTGCCCAGGAGCAGAGCTGGTACCACGCTGCCCCTTTGACGAGGCTGCTGCCCAGCAGTGTGGCATCCCTGCTACCAGGCCCTCCCTGGTCAAGCAGTGCCCGTGCTGGGGTAACCTGCCTGTGGATGCTGTGGGATCTCTGCTGATGCTTTGAGCTTGGTGTTCCCACCTGCAGGCAGGTCCTGGCTGTGCCATGGGTGTCCTACCATGGTGACTGAGGGAAACTAGCAGCCATCCCTGCTAGTTTTGGTCAGGCTTCCCAGTGCCAGCCGCTCTGCTCCAGTGGGTGTTACACTGCATCCTCTGGTGCCAACCCAGAGTCACCGATGTGCAGCTGCTGCTCAACCTGCTTTCCCTCTTTGCTGATTTCAGACACTTCTTGGAGAAATGTGTCATGAATAACTACTTTGGCATCGGCCTGGATGCAAAGATCTCCCTGGAGTTCAACAACAAACGCGATGAGCACCCCAAGAAGTGCAGGTGGGCTGGAACCCCTGGATTTCCCCCAGGACAAAATATGTACCTCAGGCTTTCCAGTGACATCAAGTTGCTGGGAGCCATAGGGGTGACTCAGTCCTACTGTGTTGGAGATCCTTCCTGCAGCAGATTTTGTACCTGCACCCACTGCTGGGATGAACACCCCAGAAAGGGTGAAGACGTGAGGACTCTGTGGGCTTTACTTGCTCTGCACCTGGAGAGAGGGACATTGCCATGCTGGCATGGAAAGGTCGAGATCTGGGTGCAACATGCTGCACCTTTGGCTTTTCTGGGAGGTAGCAAGAATTGAGGAAACTAAGGTGGGGCCAGCAGTCTGGGACTGTTGAGCACAGTGCCCCAGGAAGGTGTGGAGCCTGTGACAGGCAGTGGGAAGCCCACAGCCCCTCATCTGTTCCACTTTGTCCCACAGCAGCCGCACCAAGAACATGATGTGGTATGGGGTGCTGGGCACGAAGGAGCTCCTGCAGCGCACCTACAAGAACCTGGAGCAGCGGGTGCAGCTGGAGGTATAGGGCTGGGAGAACAGGGAAAGGGTGGGAGGGGCAGCGTTACAGCAGCCCCCCAGGCTTAGCCCTCTCTTGCAGTGTGACGGGGTGCCTATCTCACTGCCCAGCCTGCAGGGCATTGCTGTCCTCAACATACCCAGCTATGCCGGGGGCATCAACTTCTGGGGAGGCACCAAGGAGGACAATGTGAGTGCCAGGACCATGACATGAGTTGGATGGCGTGATGTCCTTTCCCCAGTCCTAAGATACCCCAGGGCTAGGGTGTCCCCGCCTTGGGCACATACGGGGAAAATGGAAGTCTTCATGTGTAGTGGTCCTCTACAGAACTTTGGGGCTCCATCCTTCGATGACAAGAAGCTGGAGGTGGTGGCAGTCTTTGGCAGCATCCAGATGGCCGTGTCACGGGTCATCAACCTCCAGCACCATCGCATTGCACAGGTAGTGGTGAGGTACCCTGCAGGACTACAGCTAATGCCTGAACGCTTTTGGGGTAGCAGTGGAGCCTGAGGCAGTGCGGCTCTGCTCGGCTTGGCAGCTATTGATGCCACCCCTGGACTGTCTGTCCCACAGTGCCGTGTGGTGAAGATCACCATCCGGGGCGATGAGGGTGTCCCTGTGCAGGTGGATGGAGAAGCCTGGATCCAGCCACCTGGCATCATCAAAATCCAGCACAAGAACAGAGCCCAGATGCTGACAAGGGACCGGGTGAGATTGAGGTGCTCAGCAAGACCATGCTGGGATATGGGGAGGTATGACCGTCTCAGAGGGGCCACGTCTGTCCCCCACAGGCATTTGAAAGCACCCTCAAGTCTTGGGAGGACAAGCAGAAAGGTGAGAGCTACCGAGCAGCCACACGGCCACGGCTCAGCTCCCAGCAGTCCATGGAGTACCTGACCGAGGAGGAGAGCAGCCTCTTGCAGCAGGTCTCACGGGTTGCTGAGACCCTCATTGCCAGGTCAGACTGTGGGAAGGGGAATATAATGGGCACAGGGAAGGGGGAACTGTCTTATGGCCATGCAGAAGTGCCTGCCCAGCCCAGGGGAGCCCTGGCAACTCCAGCCCCTGTCACCCGCAGGATCCATGAGGCAGCCAAGGCTCACAAAGCCATGGAGCAGGAGCTGGCGCATGCAGTCAATGCCAGCTCCCTGGCACTGAGTGAAGCCCTCTCCCACAAAGCTGCTGGCACCTCAGAGGTGAGCAGGGACTGGAAGTGTAAGGCAGCCTTTACCCAGGCCCACGGAAGGGGCCCTGCCACTCAAGGGGTTACCCTTCTGTGCTCCAGTTTCTCAGCAGGAATATGGCTGTGGAGATGGTGCTGAGCATCAGAGAGCTGTGGGCTGAGACCAGGGCATTCCTGGAAGGGAAGGCGGTGAGTGAGGGACTAGAGAGCACCCAAAGCCACCCAAGGCTGCTGCCCCTGGGGCTGGCAGCAGGGTTGGGCATGGTCCCTGTCTCCCACAGCTGGACTCGCCGCAGGAGGAGGAGGCGCTTCAGGGCCCCCTGAGCGTGCTGGGTCAGGAGCTGCAGCGGCTGCTGGACATCCACTGGCTCGGCCCTGTTGCCCACCCTGCTGAGGAGGTGGGTGCACAAGGACTGGGGTCTGGCACAGCCCAGCCTCTGGGAGCTGTAGCATCCCAGCAAGCGTGGCTTCTCACAGGAATGTGCCAGCAAGGGCAGCTTTAAGCTTCGCCTCAACATCCCCAAGCCCAGGAAGGAGAAGGACAAGCTGCAGAAGCAGAAGGCCAACACTGCGCTCCCAGGTACAGTGAGCAGTGTGCCAGGGAGAGACATGTGGTGCACTCCATGCTAGAAAGGACCCCCCTGTGCTGACCTGTCCTTCAATCTTCTGTCCTGGGAATGCTGGGAAGAATCCTCAGGAAGGAGGAACCTGGCTGCCTGGGGTGGCACCCTTGTCACCAAGAGCCCCTTAAAGCTTTTTCTGATATCAGACATGCAGAGCACCCCAACTCCATAACTCCTTGGCTAGGGGGAGAAAGGGGCTCTGGTACAGCTCAGACCTTTGGGTAAGCCCCTTGACAACAGCTGGGGGTCTGGTTGAGGGGGAGCAGCTCAGGTGCTCTGTAAGTACACCAAGGAGAGATTTCTGCAGCCTGAGCAGGCTGTGGCCTCTGGCCCTGCTGGAGTCAGGGGTGGGAGGGGATATACTGCCTGCTGACCACAGGCTGCCATCACTGTTGCCTGCTGACCACAGGCTGCCATCATTGCTGCCTGCGCTGCTGTGTCCCACTGCCTCCACAGGCCCCAGCAGCCCACCACTGTGGTTTTCTTCCCTGCTAGCAGACAAGTGGGGCTCTGAGGAGGTGGCAGCTTGGCTGGAAACGCTCGGTTTAGGAGAATACAGAGACATTTTTGTCCGGCATGACATCCAGGGCTCAGAGTTGATTCTGCTGGAGAGGAGAGACCTTAAGGTACAACCCCCCTTGTGCCTCCTGAGGGACCCCCAGCCCTGGGGAGCATGGTGTCCTCCATCCCTCCTCTCCCTATCCGTCCTGGTAGCAGGCTGGCCCTACATCTGGGTCCGCAGAGTTGAGTTTGTGCAGCTTCTGCACAGGGGCGGGGAAGCAGGGGAGGAAGGGTGGCCTTGGTCCTCCAGCTTGCAAGGCTCCATACACCTGTGCAGAGCAGTATCAGCAGCACCTGACCCTCACCTGCATTCAGGCATGGGGTTGTGCTTTCAAGAGGTGGGCTTCAAGCAAGCACTATGCTCTAGCAAGGGAGAGGATGGGGAGCTGGGCTGTACCTCATCCTCCACCCTGTGGCGTGTCTACCAGCAAGGGCCAAGAGCTGCCCCCTGCAAATGCATCACCTCCTCTTTCTCTTTCCTGCAGGACCTGGGGATCACCAAAGTGGGCCATATGAAGAGGATCCTTCAGGCCATTAAGGAACTCAGCAACCTGCCCTAGGCTGACAGCAGAGCAGCAGCCCAGTCCAGGTGCTGGGTGGGTGCTGCCCCCAGGGAACAGGGGTTGGGGTAGGGGAACAGGTCCCTGCCCTTGCCCCATATGTATGGAGCCCCCCCTGCTTGCCTCGCTTTAACTCTGTCCCCAGTGACCCTGGAGCCACTGCTTCATCCCAGCCTATGGGGCTGGAGACACTGAAGCAGAGGTCTACCCTGATAGGTGTGTGGTCTGACCACCAGTCCCACCCCATCAGGGTCACTGTAGGAGCTGGGGCCACCCTCTGTGTGCTCAAGCTGGAGCCAAAGCAAAGTTTCCCCTTCCCCATGTGGGTATTTATGCTGTGTAAATATTTGGAGAGAAGATACTCATTGCTGCTGCTAATGTAGTGTCATTACTAAGGGGAAGGTGGGGAGGAAGGAATTGAGAATACCTTTCCAGCCTTCACCCCTGAGCTTCCTGCTCTCCACCAGTCACCATGCTCTCACCTTCTGTCTCATCACAACACAGGAAAGTACAGTGCCGGGGCTCATAGTCTCCAGTGCCAGCATGTACAACAAACACATTTTATTAACAGTTACACATGACTTTTTTCTCCCCACCTCATCCTTAGTTAAAATAACTATTACTTATGTACATGGTACCACCCTGCTTGAGGGTACCCCATTATTTACAGGCTTATTCACAGAGTAGGGCTAGGAGCTAGTGAGCGTCTCCTCGAGCTTGAGCATGTCCATGGGGGTGACTTTGGCAACCTCAAAGAAGACCCTGGAAGGAACACGTTGGCTTAGAGCTCAACCACAGCCCTGACACCCATCCACCAGTGCTTCCAGATCCCTGTGGAACCCCAGGGTGCATGCTGGTGGTGTCACTGGCAGTGGCAGGGACAGGTCCGAGACAGAGCCCCGTGACTCACCTGTGTGAGTACTTGCTGCGCACAGCGTTCAGCTTGTCACGGGGCTGGTACGTGAGCAGGAAATTCAGCCTCTTCACCAGGGGGTGCAGGTCCTGGGCACTGTACCCGCTGTAGTACTCCAGTGTAGGGGTCTGCAAGGGGACAGCAGGGCTAAGCTGTGTCCTCAATGACAGGACAGCCATCGTCTTCCCTGTCCCAGCATCCAAATCTGGTCATAGCCCTAGTGCATCATCCCACTCACTAGTCCATTGCATCCCCCTGCGGTGCCTCCCAGGGTGCCTCAGCAGGGATAGTACTCACCCAGCCCCCAAGGTTCTTCATGGTAAGTGCCAGCAGCAGGCAGCTGGCAGCCAGCTTCGAGGGACTCTCACGGGCATAGTCGTACTCCTGCAGGGTCATCTCGCAGAGGAAGCGGGCCAGCGTCAGGGTCTCCATGGTGGCACGGGCACACTGCAGCCAGTGGGCAGGGAAAGGCTCAGCCTTTTGAGAAATGCTGCTCCCCTTCCCAGCCTTTCTAGGATCTAGAATGCAGCCTCTGGGGCTGGGATCACACACAGGTCAGGGATCACACACAGCCATCCTCACGCCCCAAACCCTTTTGAGGGGACCTGGATGAAGTCTCCTTGCTGCCAGCTGGGAGCCTGAAGCCCTGGCGATACGAGTCAGTCCCCTGGAGCCAACAGAAGGGGTGCCTGGGGGCACCCAGCCCAGCCTCTGAAGGCACTCACCTTGGCAAAGCGCCGCAGGAAGCGGTAGGGGATGGGGATGTTGATGTCGAACTTGAGGGTGCTGAGGATGCTCATCTCCATAGCAATAAGCTCCTCCCGCTTGTAGGCATCATCACAGATATAGAGGAAGTCATCCACACATGGTGGGCACCGCTCCTGTAGGGGCACAACCGCTCAGCACCCTAGCGGGGGCTCATCCTGGCCTCACCCAGGAGATCCTGGCCCCGTAAGTGTCCACGTGCTGCTGGACTCAGCAAGGACTGTTAACACCCTGTGGGACTTCTGTTGCGCCCATACTGCTCCAGCCTTTGGCTTAAGCTCCATTAAGGAAACTAAGGTATCCTGCATTAAGTGATGGTCTGTGCAAAGCAGAGAGAAGCTGGCTCTCCAGTGACACTTGGACACAAGTTTCAGCCTGCCATGACTGTATTTGCAGCCCTTGGGACAGGAAGGAGGAACATGATAGACATGCCACTCTGGCAGCTCTCAGGGCAGTAATCTGGCCTTCTCTAAAACCCCCCCAGGGACCATAGAGGCACAGCCCCTCTACCCCTGCACCCCAGGAGAGCACACAACGAGTCACCTCAAATTTGGAGGCAATAAGGATGGCAGTGGAGCCGATGAGCTGCAGCTTCTCCCTCATGCTCACCACCTCCACCAGGTAGTGGTCCACTAGCTTCACAGCCAGGTACAGTGTCTCATGGTTCAGCTCAAAGTTCTCCTTCAGGAATGAGAGTGGGGGTCAGAACAGAGTGTCAGACAGAAGTTAGGCCTGGCCAGCCCCTTGCAGCTCTCACAGAGGCCAGGGGTACCTATGGGCCAGGCTCAGAGGGAGGGATGTAGACTCATCCCTAGCCCACACAGGGGGAGGATCATTCTGCACAGGGAACTCTTGCAGGAGCCTCTGCTGGCACAGAGGTCACACGTGCCAGAGGCAGCATGGGGGCTGCTCTGCAGAAAGCTGTGCCCTCTCACCTGCACCTCCACCATCCAGTCCACAAGGATAGCACGCATGTCCCCACTGATGTCTGTCTGCTTCTCCATGTAGTCAGGAAGCATGAATTTTTCCTGCCAAAGAGCCAGCTGTCAGGGACAGGGCAAACATCCTCACCTTCACACAAGCCCCTTCTCACCCTGTGCTGTCCCTCTGCCAGGTGGTCAGAGCCTCTGGGCAGTCAGTGGCCCTGCCTGCAGTCACTCCTTCCCTGGACAGGGCTGTCAACCCCAGGACAGGCATCACTCACCTCTCTTTCCCGCATGTATTCAAAGATCTCCTTGGCGTACTCTGCATTGGCGTAGGGGTCACCCAGCTGCTCCTTGTCAATGTCCTCCACTGCTGGCACCTGCTGGCATGGAAGAGGCAGCACTAAGGGGGAGGCCCTGTAAGTGCCAGTCACCTTGTCAGGGCAAGGCTGCTGCTCTTCTGCACCCCCTTTTCCACCTGCCCTCATCACCCAGCAGTCCCTGTCCCACTCTTTCCCAGGGGAGGACTTTTGAAGGAAGATGGTGGTGCACTTTGCCCCCCTCCCCAGCTTTCCATCACCCTGGTTGAAGTCTCTCCAAGGCCCAGAGCACTGCCTGGTGCCCGAGTACCACCAGTGGCAGCCACAGACTGGGGCAATGCTGCAGCCCAGGGTCCCTACCCTCTGCTCAGGGGGCTTCGGTTCCTGTACAAACACTGGCTTCTCTGGCACAGGATCCACTCTGGGCTCTGCTGGAGCTGTTGGGGGAGTTTTCTTCATTGACCTAGGAAGGACAAGAGCATAAATCATTGCTGGGAGAAGACCAAATTTCTTGGCTGAAAAGGGGCCTTCCAGAGGCTCTTGCTGCTTCAGGAAGGGGCAAAAGCACCCCTAAAATATCCCCACAGAGTCCTAGAACCGCTTAGGCTGGAAAAGACCTTTAAAGTTATTGAGGACAACAGTTCCCCCAGCACTGCCATGCCCACCACTAAACCATGTCCCCAAGGGCCACATCCACATGACTTTGAAATCCTTCCATGGAAGGTGACTCTACAACTGTCCTAGGCAGCCTGTACCAGGGCTAGACAGCCCTTTTAGGGAAGAAATGTTTCCTAATATCCAACCTAACCCTCCCCTGCCACAACCTGATGCCATTTATAGTAGATATACTACATCCTTCCTGCATCTGGCTCAGCCTCCATCATCTAAGAGAAGCCCCTACTACTTGTCCCCATGGGACAAATTTGCAGCAAACCCCTGCCCCCAGATACTCACTTTTTTAGGTTGATCTCATTGTTCTTGGCCACCCCTAAGGCATTATGTGCCTTCTGCGCCTTGGGTGGAGCAACCTTCACAGCCTCCTTCTTCCCTGCCACCACCTGGTTCTTGCGAGCCTGTTTGGGTCAGAACAGGGGCATACAGGGGCTGCACCGTGGAAAGCAAGATATGCCCTGCAGGGAGACCTCTCCTTTTCCTAATGGGCATGGGGTATGCCACCCCCACCATGGGGAGCTCACAGGGGGCACCAGAGCCTCCACCCTCACAGAAGCACTCACATTGGTGATGTCTCCAAACGCTGATCTCTTCTTGGGGCCGCCCTGGGGTGAGGATGAAGACCTCTTGGCATGACAGCTCTCGTCCTGCAATAGAGGCTGTTAGAAGATGGTGGTCAGCTGCCCCACAGGAGCCCCCCTACAGCCCTCTCTTGGCTCGGTGCTCACCTTCTCAGGATCAACATTCTCTGCAGCAGGGCCTGCCTTGCCTGCTCGGGTCTGCTTGGTGGTCAGCATCTTGGCATTGCGTGGCAACGGCATCCTCTCCCTTGGTCTCTGTGAGCAAGCTGGGGGCAAAGCATGACGTGATGGAGGCTGCTGCCCACCTGCCTCCAGGGACACCCTCCCAGCTTAGGCCAGCACAGGGGGAGATAACCTGGGGGTTAGCACAGCAGGACTGACCTCTTTCCTGAGCATGGCAGGTGGGTGGTGCCCCAAGACAAGCCCAGGCAAGGGACAAATCTGGCTAGGGGTGCTCCCGGGGAGGAAGGGATACAGACCCCAAAGACCACCAGCAAAAGCACTCTGCTGGGTGAGGTGGTAGAGGGGACAGGCAATTTCCAGATTCCTGCATCCCAGAGAAGGAGCCAAGGGCTTGCACTTCCTCAGAGAGCTGGAAGTCTTGGAAATTCCCACTCTCCCACAACCCTTAGGGTTCCCTGGGGGAGTCGGGTGTCCCAAAGTTCCCCTCTCTCCTGCATCCCCCGGCGTTCCCAGGAAAGCTGGGGATCTTGGAAGCCCTTATTCCCTTGCATCCTCCAGGACCCCCACGCCTGCCGCTAACTAGGGGTCCCAGCGCTGCCCACTCCCCCGCAGCCCTCAGAGGGCCCACTCCCCCGCAGCCGGGGGAAATCCCCCCAGTCACCCCTGCCCGGTGTCCCGTCTCCACTCACCCATGCCCGGTGCGCTGTGCCTGCACCTCCAGCCCCGGCGCTTTTGAAAGTAGCAGTTCGGTAGCGGCCGGCCAGCACTGGCCGAGCCTCGCCCAATCAGAGTGCGAGGCGATGCCAGGCGGCGGCCAATCGGCGGGCGCAGAGGGATGCAGTTGCTAAGGGGCAGGGCGGCAGGGTTTAAAATTCAACGCCGGTGACCAATGGAAAGGCGAGCATGCGGCAGGGGCGGGGCGAGCGCCGAGCCGGGCGGGCAGTGATTGGTGGGAGCGGGCGCCGTTTAAATCCGTTCTGCGGGGCCGCAGGGCCGTCGTGGTGCGGGCCGCACGGTGCGGGGCGCCCGGGGGGGCGGCCCCGGCCTTGCTGGCCTTCGGGGCGGGTGGAGCGGCCTCCGCGGGCAGCTGGCTCCGCTGGGTCCGCTGCCTCCGTCCGCAGCCGAGGTTGTGGGTCCCAGCCCTCGGGGCTGCCCTTTCCCACCGGGCCGGGGAACTTTGGTTTGGGGGACAGGGTGTGCTGGCCGTGCACCTTCCTTGACCCGGTGTCGGGAACAGAGGGTTCGGATGGCTTGGATAATCACAGAACGGTTCGGGTGGGAAGGAACCTTAAGCTCAACCCGTTCCACCCCCTGCCCTGGACAGGGACACCTTCCCCTGTCCCAGGCCGCTCCAAATCCCAATGTCCAGCCTGGCTTTGGACACTCCAGGGATTCAGGGGCAGCCACAGCTTCTCAGGGCGCCCTGTGCCAGAGCCTGGCCACCCTCACTTCTCACAGAGAAGGTATTTTTCTTACATCTAGTCTAACCCTACTTTCACTGTCTGCGGCAGCACAGGAGCACCGTTCATGTGGTGTCGTACAGGCATGACTGACCAGTTCAGGCTGAGGCTCCCTGGGACTGCCCCGTCCTCCACAGCGACCAGGACAGGGTCAAAGTCACCAAGGCACACGTCATGGTCACTGTACTAAGGGTTGTACGAGATACCGGCCGCTTACCGAACATCTGCTGAGGGTAAGAGCACTCTGTGTGTGTCAAGGACCAGCCTTGAGGGCATTGCAGCTCTTGGGGAGACCCGAGCCATGCAGCCAGGCTGCCCGGCAGGGAGAGCTCAGAAAAGGCTCGCTCAAGCTCTCAGTTGGCTTGAAGTCAATTTCCATGTATCAGGAAAGGAATGCGTGAGACTCCTCACACCCACAGCTTGCTTTGTTCCTTGGTAAACTAGTCTTGGAAAAGCCACCCGCTTTTCGTATGTGAGACACATGATCCATGTTTGTATACTTGATGCTCACTGTATCACTCTGCCCCTTTGTGAGTTTCCAGCACAGTTCTTTGCTCTAATGCCACCACCATGCAGTGGTTCTGTGCCCTCAGCAACTCTTGGGGGCTTTAGCACTACACTGAGATCTGGCACAAGTGAAGCCCCTGCTGAGTTAAACTCAGCAGAGCTCAGCACTGCAGCAGAGGAGAGCTTCCCTCGGCCACCAGATTCCCAGAAAAACCTTTCAAATTCCTAAGTTTAACCCAAGAAAATCCTTTCAGATAATCATACACTCATGTGCTGCTGTTATGGGTGGAGCTGATGAACCCCTGGCTAGGGAAACACAGCAGTGCCAGCATCTGGGGGGATTTAAACCTGATGCCCAAGAGCTACGTGGGTAGGATCAGGCACATGGCTTGGGCTGCATGTGGGCAGCTCTGCCACATCTCAGCAGAAAGCATGTCCATGTCCACCTGGACCATGGACAGCCAGGAGCAGAATTCTGCTCTCAGGTTCAGTGGAGGTTTAAACCTGGGTCCCACATGTCTCGGGTCCCTTCAGTCCCCAAAACTGGTCAGGGTTGCTGCAGCTCCATCTCACCTTGTTCCCTCCTTGGTCACTTGTCCTCTCCAGACCCAGCTTTCCCCTGTGTTACTGCTTCTGCCCTTGGCCTGGGGGCTCCCTGAGGCTTGCTTGCTGTTGGTTTGGGATCCTGTGGGATGCAGGTTCTTGCCTTTCCCTGTGCGTGTTAAGGCAGTGCATAGCCCAGTCAAAAATACAGGTTGGGTGCATACTAGCCAGGCAGAGCCAGGACACATCCACTGCCAGTGGTTATCCTGTGGGATAAGATCATCGGGCAAAACTCCCATCCAAGTCTCGCCACAGCCCTCTGGAGGCTGGGATGAGCTGCCTGCTTTGGGACAGGTTAATGTTTGCCTGTCCTGCCCAGGCTTGGCACTGGGAAGCAGGCTTTTCCCGTCTCTAAAGCATTGCCATGCTGGTGCTCCTGGCAAGGCTCCTGGGAATCCCAGCCCAGCTGCAGGGGCGTGACTCCCACCACGCAACCTGAAATTGCCCCTGGACATGGGGCATGTGGGAGAAAAGATGAGGAGAGCAAAAAGTGGAAGGTGAAGCCATGGGTGTGCAGCAGGAGCTGTGCCAGCTGTCCAAGCATTGAGGCAAGGCTGTGGTCTCACTCTTGCTCACAATCTATGGATGCTGGGGGCCAGCTGGAGGTGACACCTCCACCAGCTCTCCTTGTGCTCTGACTTTACCTCAGCAAACTCCCAAATCAGGGAGAATGCAGGTCATTGGCTCCTCCCACTAGATTCTTGCTGTGTGCTGGCTCAAGAGCATTTATGCCTGGCATGTCCCTTTCGTGAGGAGAGCTGGGTTGCTGCTTCCATCCAGCCTCTTCCCACAGCACTAAAAAAGCTTGCACTGCCTTTTTGAGTTGGAGCAGACCCCAGCCCCAGCCTGGCTTCCTGGCACTGCAGGACTGCCGACAAGCCCCTCTGCATGGTATCTAGGGACCTTTGCTCCAGGATTGCTTACCAGATGGGAAGCCCCAGGCTGAAGAAGAGCAGCAAGGACAGGGAAGCATCATTCCTGGGACCCAGATGAACTGCTTTTCCCCTTTCCCTTCTTATTCTTTCCTGTGGTAAAACAGGCCCAACTTGTTGCTTCCCATGGCCCAGTACCAGAAGCGCTGATGGGAGACAAGGTACTTCTCTGCACAGGGAGGGCTGAACTTTGCCTCTTCCTTTTTCCCCTTTTCATTACTAATGACCAAGGTCAGGGAGAGATATTGTGCCTAAGAGCTGTTGCATTTATTCGCTGGGAAAAAACACAGCAAGTTAAAACTTGGGGCTCTCCTGCCACGGGGGAAAGTAGAGAGGAAAGCATAGAGCAACAGGGGGTGACAGAGCTCCTGAATGCCTGCAGGTAGGTGAGAGCCTGTGTTATGCTGAGCTGCCAGTGGCCCCAGCCCGGGGAGTAGCTTCCTTGGCACAGCCGGGCTGCATGGCATGCACCGTGGTGGGGCTGTGCTGGTGATGTCTGCTCTGCTTGCACACCCACTCCACGTGCCTCTTCCTATGTCCTGGCCATTCCTGCCTCTCCACTGCTGACACAGTGCCCGAGTGCAGGATGTGTTTGCAGCACCAGGAGTGGAAGCCAGTACCCAAGGAGAAATAGGGGCAAGCAGCTTCGAAGGGCTCAGGGTGGGCTTGGCACAGCTGATCAGGGTTAAACTCTAGAGCCAGACAATGCAAGCTGAGAACAGGGAGGTTAGGTTAGGGTTGGTGGCATCTGTGGCAGAGGAGCCCATGGCCCACAGAACAATTACACAGCTCCTCACCACACTGAGGGTCACCCCCAGCTGGTGGATGGACACACTGGAGCTGCCATGACCCTGCTGCTGCTCAGGATGTCCAGTCACCCCAAGGAGCCCAAACTCTTATATCTCTCTGATGTTGGATCCCACTGAGCCTGCACTCCTCTCCTGCCCTCCAACCATTTTCTTCCAGTTCTTATTTGGTGGCCGATTTGATCTTGTGTATGGCATATGGGCTTGACTCCTTGGGCACCCAGATCTCCTCCCCACTGTGGCCCTGGTGCTCCACTGCTCCCTCCATAGCTGCCGTCAGCTCAGGGCCGAAGATGCTGTCAGTGGCCCGGTAGGTGCGGGTGAGGCGGCGGAAGGAGGAGTCTGAGGAGCTGTCATCAGGGATGTCTTCATCCTGCTCATCCCGCAACTTGGTCCTGCCCAGCTCTGAGCTGCTCCCCAGCTCTGGGTCTTTGAGAGCCTCCCTCACCTCCTGGAGGAAGGTTGTTTTGGGGCTGATGATGCACAGCAGCAGCATGAGGCCTCCTGAGACTCCACAAAGAAAGTAGAGGGCAACTTTCTCTGGGACACCTGAAGGGAAAAGGAAAGAAAGACACAGGGTACAAACTGCTCTGATCTGCAGTCTGCGGGGTATCAGTGCCTGCAAAGCCCCTCTGCCAGGCGTACGGGAGTAAGAGGAGGGGAGCAGGGATGCCCTCACCACCCAGGCTGCAGAGACAGGACAGACTCTGCCCCAGTGACTGTGGAAGTGTCACCTAGAGCCTCATCAGCACCCACCAGTCCTGAAATGGGCCTTTCCCCAAAGAAAACCTCCAGTGGGATCTGGGGTAGGCAGAGCAGGGGAAAGAATAATCCCTTGGGGGATTAAATGAGTAATTTCCTCTGGCAAGGGCAATTTTTGCCTGCAGAAAAGTGGTCTCCATCAGTACCTGCAGACAGGGCAGGAAGGAAAAGACACAGTGGGTAATCTGGCCTGTTGGAAAAGGAAGGTCCACAGGCAGGACTGTAGCCATACCATGACTCTTGATGCTGTGGGACTTTGAGGCTCGTTCCACCTCTGAGCTCCACCCTGCCTGTCCACCCCAAACCCAGCATGGGCGCTTGGTGCCATGCTCCTTCATGTGCCTGTTGGCCCTGCTGGAGAGGTTTGGGGTCTGGCTGCCTCTGAGACGAGCCATTGAGTTGAGCTGGGGCCATTTGGGATGTCAGCCACCCCCCAGCTTGCCCTATTTCCCCAGGTGCTGCATGAGACCCAGGGTGGCCACATACCCCAAAGGTGAGCAAAAGCTGCCAGAGAGCTAGTAAAAACCATGCGGTCTTCCTGGAGCCTGGAGAACCTGGGCCCTTTGTACCAGCCACCTGCAGTGACAAGGGGGTGCAGGCTGAGGCACGAGGTGCTCTCAGTGTCCTGGCTGCCTGCTCCTGCCTGTCCTTCCCCATACCACACGCCATCCTTCCTGCACAAGTGCTCTGCTGTCCACAGGGATGACCCTGTGTGTCTTCCTCTCCCTTGCTTCCAGCAGATGCCACCTCCATCCCCTCAGAATGGGCACTGCCCAAGGGATGGTTTCCACCACGGGACAGGGATGCTAGGCTGGAGCTGGTAGCAGGGATGCAGACAAACCATGGAAGGGCTGGTTCACCCCGGCACAGACATGGTGCCGCACTGCTTGTGGTGTAACCTTCCTCTCCCCACATTACCGTGTATGTAGTCCGAGAGCAGGAAGGGGTCTGAGGTGTCAGGGCCCACCTCCTCCAGCAGCTGCTTGGGCACTGCAAGGAGAGCACACACCAAGCATCACCACCCTGCTCCTCCCATGCAGCCCCTACCTCCCTGGGTAGCCCCATGCCCCTGCCTGCCTGGCATGGGGTGGGCAGAGCAGACACTCCACCAGTGGCCCCTGTGCCCCTGGTTCTGTGGGGAGTTCTCACCACAGGTGTAAGAGACTCGCAGCTGCTTCTTCATGCCAGGGAGGCACGGGTCCCCAAAGGTGGCCTTGTCAGCAGCCACGGTGCAGTTCCCCTTGCGGTGGCACTTCTTGGAGACCCTGCGCAGAGCATCTGGAGCCACACACTCTGCAGAGACATGAGGCATGGACCCATGGGCAGAGCTGCCTGCCCCTCCCTGCTGGGCATCAGCCAGCAGAGACCAAGGGACAGAGGTACAGCCCAGTTCTCTGCATGATTCCTGTCCCATTTCTGTCTCAAACCATTCTGGCATACCTATAGGGGGTTCTCCTGTGTTTAAGACATCACATTCTGGTTTGCCCCGCAGGAATCGTCCATAACTTGCAGAATAAATGGCCAGGATGGATTTTGGTCGACACTGCAGCCTGAGCTTGTCATTCTCACACACGGTCTTGACCCGATGGTTCCCTAGGGAGTGACATCGCTGAGTGCCCCGATGCATCCTGAATCACCTCTCTTAGGCCAAGGGAAGGGTTGAAATAGGGCTACAAGGTGCAGGAGCAGCCATGCTCTGCTTCCTGCCCCTTTCTGAGCAGCTGAGGTCAGGGAGAGCCCATGCAGTGTTGCCCAGACCATGCTCCACCTCACCTGGCCGACACTTGTAGGAAGCGATGAGATACTTGTGTGTCCCAGGGCATGGGTCTGGTCCAAAGACCTGGCTGTGCACTGAGAACTGGCACCACTGCTGGTCCTGGCACTCAGCCAGCAGCTTCTGGAGAGCAGAGTGGAACAGGTGTGAGTTGGGTAAGAAGTCCTGAGGCTGTTCTCACCTCCTGTGCATCAGTGTCATCACCACGCTCAGGGAAGTGGCCTCTCACAGAAGTGTCCCATAGCTGCTCCTGCCCAGCCCTGATGCAGACATCACAATTCCAGTGCCTGTCCCTGAATCAGTTCCCCCCCAGCACCCACAGTGAGTTGTGAGTCCTACACAGCTGCTACTACCTGTGCTGGCATCCCAGTACCATACCATACCATACCATACCATACCGTACCAAACCGTACCGTACCGTACTGTACCATATTGTATCATACCATACCATACCATTCCATACCATCCCATCCCGTCCCAGTACCATACCATTCCATACCATACCATACCACACCATAGCATACCGTACCATACCGTACCATAGCATATCATACCATACCGTACCGTATCATACCATAGCGTACCATACCGTATCATACTGTACCATACTGTACCGCACCATACTGTACTGTATCGTTCCATACCATACCATTCCATACTGTACCGTACCGTACCGTACCGTACCATACCGTTCCATACCGTACCATACAGGTCCATACCGTACTGTACCGTTCCATACCGTACCATACCGTACCGTTCCGTTCCATACCGTACCGTACCGTACCGTACCGTACCACGTGTGTCTAGCACCGGTGCAGGCGAGTGCTGACACGGCCCCATCGGCTCGCGTCCCCGCGGTCCGTGCAGTGTCCCCGCGCGGCCACGAGGTGGGGTCTGAGGTTCACCCAGGGCCGGTCGGGCCCCGCCCGTGACCGAGGTGGCCGCGGCCCCGCTCCCCTCCTGCACACGCGGGCAGCCCGCGAGTGGCCGAGCCGTGCCCTCGGCTCTGGTAGGAGTCCCTGGGTGGCCCGGCCTTGGGTGGCTGTGGGACTCACTGCCCCTCTGTTCCCCTCCTTGCCCCCACAAGTCCCACAGCAGTGCTCCGCAGCGGAGCAGAGGCTGCCGACAGAAGCGAGGGGTTTATTCCCTTGCTACCTCTTCGTGACTCAGGCGCGGGGATCCCAGCACCCACAACGGAGCCTCCTCTCATCTCTCTCATTCCCCTCCTCTGTCCCTGTCCCTCCCGCCCAGCTCAGAACTGAGCCTCAGCTTGGTCTTCACTGCCTGCCAGAACGGAAATTCACTAAGGAAGCACAAGCAATCTCTCTTCCCACTTGCTGCCTAAACAGAGCTGAGCCTTGGCAGCAGCTTTGCTCTCCTTGCTCTCTGCTCCAGACATCCCTGCTCCTTAAGCAGCAGCATGTATTCCAGCCCTGTGCCAACATGGCCATCCCACCGTTTACCCAGTATGAACCTGAGCTACACAGACCTGCCCTCAGACCTGCCCTTCAGTTTCCAAGCACCTGTGGCAGGCCATGCTCTCTATCCTGCAGAGAGGGGGATCCTGACCTGTGTTTGCCAAGTGGCTCATGGGACCAGCCTGGTGCTGTGCCAGCATGGTCTGGCTTGGTGCTTGCAGAGCTCCTGGAACATGCAGGATCCCAGAAGGGGATGTATGGTTGGAGCAGGACCAGGCAGGAAAGCCCTGTGAGCTCCTGAGCAGGGCACTGGCTCATCCGCTTTTCTCACAGGCAGCTGCAGTCACCGGCTTTGCAGCAGGTTTGCCCCAGCCCTAGCAAGGGGCTGGAACAGGGTCTTAGAAAAGCAGCATATGAAATTATGTCCCCATCAAGGGACCTAGGCATTAGCTTTGAGGAGATTTCATCTCTTTTCTTCTGTCAGTCTCTGCTTTCCTACCCTTTCCCTGCACCGACTGCTGTCATCAAACAGGCACCCCTTTGGTCTGCTTCACTAATCCAGTCAAGGGACCTGCCAGCACAGATGGGCGCTGCTTCTGGCTGGGGAAGAGCCAAGCTCTGTGCCAATCCCAGGGGATGCAGGCACAGGGGTGAGTGCAGCATCTCAGGGGGTCCTGTCTCACTTCATGAGCCCAACAGCCTGGCTACGGCACTGCCCCTCTCCCAGAGGCCAGCCCCAGACGCCAGGGCGTTCTCTGAGCCTGCTGCTTCCTGTGGGATTGCTCCAAAAGCCGTCTCAGGACACAGCAGTGCCTCCTGCCAGGCTCTACTCTGGAACACACATCTCTTCCACCCTTAACTCCCAAAAATGGTCTAGGAAAAGGGCCCCACAATGAATCACAGAAAATACAAAATGGTGAGGGACTGTTACTCTCTCAAAGGCAGGGAGGTCCGACAGAGAGACCACAAGAAACCAGAGGACTGTGCAATCACCCACCACAGGAAATTCAACAAGGGAAACTGCTGGATTCTGTACCTGGGAAGGAGCAACCCTGGGTGTATGCTGTGGGTCCTGGTCAACAGCAACCTGAATATAAGGCAGCAGTGCCCTGACAGCCAGGAGAGCCAATATTTTCCTGGGGGGCATCAGGCTCAGCCAGGCCAGGGAGGGGATTGTACATCTCTGCTCTGCATGGGGCAGCCTCACTTTGAATATTGTGTGTATTTTTGGTCACCATAATATAAGAAAGATACTATTAGAGAGCATCCAAAGGAGGGCAACTTTGTGAAATACTGTGAAGGGCCTTGAGGGGAAGCCTTATGAGGACTGGCTGAAGATACTTAGCCTGTTCAGCCTAGAGGAGTCTGAGGAGGTCCTCATTTCAGTCTACAACTGCCTCGTGAAGGGAGGGAGCAAGCACTGATCTGTGGTGACAGGACCCGAGGGAATGGGCTGAAGTTGTGTGAGGGCAGGTTTAGGCTGAATATTAGAAAAAGGCTCCTCTCACAGAGGGTGGTTGGGAACAGGCTCCCCAGAGAAGTGGTCTCAGCACCAAGCCTAACAGAGTTCAAGAAGTGTTTGTGATTTTTTTATTCCATTGTTCTGTAATCCTGATGCTGATGCAAACCTCCTCAGGGCATGAGGAGGCTGCATTGCCTGCAGCCCCCCAGCGCAAGCAGGCAGCTCAGTGATGTGGAGACAGAGGGTTGTGCAGCCCGGCCCCTGGGATCCCTCCCTTACCAGGTGGGCAGTGGCAGACGTGCACTCGGTGCTCTCCTGGGAGGCACTGTCGGGGCTGGGGCAAAGGTTGGTGCTGGGCACTCGACGCCCATAGAAGGCCCCGAGGATGCTGATGGTGGTTTTGTGAGGGCAGACGATGAGGAGCTGCTCTCCATCGCAGGTGTGGGCAGTGTGGTTCCTCAGCACCTTGCGCAGGTACCCTGGAAGGGAAAGCAGGGGTCCATTGTCCAGAGGACACACCAGGGCCACAGCAGTCATGGCACTTGGGCACCCAAGTGCTGGTAGCAGTGAGGATATCTTGAGATGAGGCACTTATGGAGTGAACAAGATCAGAACAGAACAGCAGCAGAGAAGATGGTCTTGTAGCAAACCTCGCATACATAATTGCTGCCAGGAGCCTGGAAAGCAGCACAGAATAGCTGAGCTGGTTAGCAACAAGAAAGGAAAGATAGAGGCAGTACAGCAAGTCAGAGAAGATGGAGAAATCCCATAAGGAGTTATCAAGTGTTTAGAGAAAATCAGTCTTGTTATGGAGCCATGGTGGGGAGAGAACAAGGGTGAGCCAGAGATGGTCTCCAGTGATGATTCCGGGAGTCAGGGTGAGCAGGATGCTCTCTGTCACAAGTCTGTCACAAGTTGAGCCATGAGCCGGATGAGAGAAGGGTCCAGGGGCTGCTGCAAGCTCCCACAGCTGGCTGGGTCAGTATGGATGAGTGTGAGCCACAAAGCCATCACTTGAGCCCAGCTGACCTCAGGTCTCTGCTGAAGAAGCCCAGTGTGTTGCTGCAAACTATTCCTGGCCCACAACCCTTTCAATGGCAACTGGCCCTTTCCTCCTTGAATTCCCATCACAGAATGCATCTTTCTTTCAATCCTGCCTAGTTCATGTCCCAAACTACTGCCCCTGTTGTTTTCCCTACCGGGGACAACAAAGTGGGATGGTTCTGTGCAGTGTCTCCAAAGGCTTAACATGCAGCATTGGCTCCAGTTGGCATTGGCTGTACAGGGTGGGCAAGGAGTCTGTTTTAGTAAGAGCTCTTCAAGCTGCCAGGTGCTCTGAGCAGGCACCAGTTGCTGAAGAAGACTGTGGAAGGAAGAAAACCGACAAAATGTGATGTGTAGCTCCTGACTGAAGCACTTTGCATCTTTGAATAAAACAAAACCAAAGGGGAAGCTTCATTTTGAGGTTTGAGAGATTGCAGCAGGGCAACATGGGGCTTCTGACCCCCCAGCTCTGGGGTCTTTGGAGCAACTTGCACCTCAGCCCCAGGCCGGTGCGGGGGCCCAGGGCAGGGCATGCACCCTGTCCCCCAACCCCAGTGTGTCAAACTCCCCCAAACCAAGACAAGAAGGTGGGAGCACTAGCTCCCCTCCCCACTCCCTGCAAACTGCTGCCAGGCTCAGCAGCACAAAGGGCCCCTTTTGCCTTCAGTGCTGCCACTAACCCTTTGGTATCTGCAGTCAGCATCCCTCCCTGTGATGTCAGCGGGTGCAGCTGGGAGCTGCCTCCAGCCTGGAGTTAATGTCTCCCTTGGCATTATCCCTGACAAGCTGGGATGAGCAAGTGGGTGGCCACAGCATCCTAGAACCAAGCCCTCGATTGCTTCTCTGCATGCTGGAGGAAAGAGGAAAGGAGAGGTACAGGAGGGTAGACGGCAGTAGACAAGGTGCTCTAGCCAGGTCAAAGCTCCAGTGTGATGCAAAGATGCTCTCTGAATGGCACAGGGCTGGATCAGACCCTTGGAGTGCAGAGCTCACGAAGAGGGGATAGGACAAACCCTGGTCTGTCCCTCTCCTCTGGTTGCCCCATACCACTGTATGCTGGGGGCTGTGAGGGGCACAGGACCCTGCCCAGGCTGCCAGCCCCCATCTCCTTCCTCTGCATCCCCTGCAGCAGTCCTACACTTGCAGCACCAGCCGCACACCTGGCAGAAGTCAGATGCTCCTGAAGGTTTCAGAGCCACCCTGGCCTTGACCTCTGCATAGCACTAACTCCAAACCCACCTGCCTGTACCAAACCCTGCTGGATGCAGGGCTGCCTAAAGTCCCCACTGCTGGGCAGCCTTGGATGCAGAGGGCTCAGACAAATCCTAGGGTGGCAGGGAAGTCAGGGGAGAAATATGAGAAGAAATGGGTTTCCCCAAATCCAGCCTTGAGGCAGCCACCCTGTTCTGCTGTCATGCCGGCAGCGGGCACCAGTGATTTGTATTTTAAAACTAAGGCTCAAACATTTCCATGGGTGCAGAGGTTTCTCCATCACACTGTTTAGGGCCAGTGAGCAGCTGTGAAGATGTTTTTTTGGGTGGAGCCATGTCAAGGAGGCTGTAGGCAGACTTTGTGGGTGATTTGTGCCAGTACAGCTGACTCAGTCTCCGGTGCTGTGGTTGTGCCGTTAGCTCTGCCCAGATGAAATCACATCCTCCTCACCACAGCCCATCCTGTAGCATCAGGCTTTCACCCTCCTGGGCTCGGCTGAGCAGATGGAAGGTGTGCATGGCTGTTTCCAGATGATTCCTGGGGAATGCCCGGTGCCCAGCCTGCCTGCACCTGTCCTGACTGTTCAAAGAGCTGGGACAGAAGGAATCCCAAATTTCTGCCTTGTCTACACCTACAAGGTTCACCTGCATAGCCCTGGGGAGTGCTTCTGACCCATGCCATATCTTGTGGCAGGGGACCCTGCAGCACCCCTACTCACGAGTGGCTCTGGGGGCACAGCCACCAGCTCCATTGAGGGACCAGGTACAACCCAACTCTTCCCTCTCCTCAGAGCAGAGAAGGCTGGCAGGGTAGCCCTGAGTGCTCTTTCAGCTCTACACACTGCCCAGCACCGAGGACATGAGCATCGTGGCTGAGGGGAAGCTCAGCAAAGCTCAGGGACTAGCTTGATGTTTGTTTCTTTGCATTTCTGCCTGCAAACTATCCAAGAGAGCACAGCAGAGCTGGGGAGCCACTCTCATGCACAGCAGGGCTGTGGGATGTGTGCAGATGTTTTCAGTGTGTTTTCAGAGAACAGCCCTGTGTGGAGATAAAGAAATCCCAGCATTTTGGGGAAACTCACTCTGGCCTGCCGTGGTTTGTACCTCACTTGTCCCTACCCCACCAAACTGCTGTAGCTCTGCCCTCCCATCACACCAGCGCAGTTCTCAGCATCCCCCTCCGCCCGTCCTTCCCCCTGACTCACCGGACAGCTCCGGGCTGGCCTGGAGACGCGCAGCAAAGCAGAGGAGGAGCAGGGTTCCTGCTGGCCGGAGCAGCCCGGCCATGGCACGGCCGCGGTGTCCCAGCCGGCAGCTGGTACCAGCCGGGGCCTCGTTGGCGGGTGGTGCTCGTGGGGCTGACCCTGGCGGGGACAATGGCTCGCTTCTCTGCCCTGCTGAATCCCGAGGCTTGGCGAGCACATGTGCACTCGCTCTGAGCCCGCTGCCTAGGGCCAGAGGCTGCTCGGGACAGCGGGGTCACTCTCAGCACAGGAACATTTCCCCCGGGAACCGTGTTACGGGTGAGCCGTGCCTTGGCATCCCATTGCTGCCAAATAAACTGGCAGCCCCTTCCCTCCCGCCTCTGTTCGCCCTGGGCAGAGGAACAGGGCTTGACAAGGTTTCCAAAGTGTCCCCAGCTTTCTCCCAGACACGGTGAAACAGAAATCCAGATAAATGTGTGCTGTAATCTCAATCTCAGCAAATGTCCGGCCATTCACTCTGTGAGGAGGAAGGGAAAGGCTCCTTGAACTGCCTCCCAGGCAGCTGTTCCTGCAGAAAAGACAAACACCCTGCAGCCAGCAGAGTGGGAAGGGACTTCTTTGCTGCCACGTTTCTGCCTCACAGCCTCTGTGGGGCCAGGTACTGGGCATTCCGGCACCTTGTGAGGAGGGCACCGTGTCATACTGTGCCTCCCACCTGCAGGACTTAAACCCCTGCTTGTTGCTTCAGCTGGAGGGAAGTGCCATGGACTGGAGCTGCTGGCTCTTCTCCCGGCTGAGATCAGCAGAGACAGCAGCAGCTGGCAGTGCCAGGAGCCATCACAGCTCTCAAGGCCCAGCATTGCCCTGGCAGGGGTGGCTGGGGAGGCTGTGGCAGCAGTGGGTACTGGCACACCTCACCTGGGTCCACAGCAGGGGCTGGGTGGTGGGTGTTAAGTTTGTGATGAGGGTAATGCCATGGCTCTGCAGGGCACTCACAGTGCCATCAATACATACATCTTGATTATAGGAATATGAGTCAGAGTGTCCCATTGAGTAGGGTTCCAAATTCTCCCAAAGTTTTGATGGGGCAAAAAAAATTGCCCACCCCCTGCAACCCCCAGTGTTAGCACCACTCTGGGCTGTGTAGCAGGACCAGGGGAAACATCTTTGTTGGGGAGTCTCCTCCAGGGGTGTGCAAAATAATTTCCCATCCTAATTGCCTCGAGGGAGATTGCTGTCTGATCAGGGGTTGATTATTTGGGGAAAGCTGGAGCCTGTCTGAGCTGGGGGGGGCGAGCTGAGTCAAACGCTGGGGATCCCCATTTTGTGCAATGGTACCAGCTATGTGGTCTAGGGATGCAAGACAGGTCTTGCCTAAGAGTTAAGCCCATGTGTGCTGGGAAGCTGTATCTGCTGTCTCTGCAGCCAGGGTGATCTGACTGCAAACAGTTCCCTCCCATCCTGGGGAGGAAAGCAAGCTGTTCATCCTTCCTGCAAAACAGCCCAGTTCCAGGAATGGGGCCCTGCTGAAGGTCAGCCCTGGAGACGTCTCATCCCACCATCCTGCCAAGCACCACATAGCTGGGCAGCTGCCAGGGGCACTGTGGGGTTCCCCACTGCTCCCCAGCATGCTTCAGCATCTTTTATCTCCTGCCTTAGCTTAAGATTTTGCAATCCTTCCCACCCAAGGGCTATGCCCCACCTTCAAAAAGCCAGTGACATTTGCTCAGACTGCTCCACTCAGCTTCCCTGAGCGTTTGCCCTGTGCAGCCCAGCTCCTTGCAGAGAGGGGTGTTCAGACAAGCCCGTGCAGGGATCCCCCGAGGGTTGGTGGGCTGGGAGAGGAGCTGTACCTTCCCTCCAAGGGGCTGCCTGTCATAATGCAGCTGCAGGAGGCAGAGAAAAGGTCAGCCAGGTTCATCCCAAATTGATAAAGAAGCCCTGGGACACTGGACATCAGCATGAGGGTGGGAGAGTGGCAAGGGGCCAAGACTGGAGCAGCAGGAGGAGCAACAGGCATGACACTTCCTCTATAAACCCCTGCTCCCAGCTGGGAAGAGATAGCAGCAGCGCTGTGGACACCAAAGGTGCTGGGGATGCCAGCCCACTGCTCAGAGGCACTGGAGGAACACCTGGGTGGGTGCGATAGACTCTGAATGTGGCCAGATAGACCCGTGCTGAGTCACGTCTGAGAGGCCCTGCAGCTTCCTCCCCTTGCTGGCGGGTCCTGGCGCACACCCCATTGCTCCTCCCTTCTTCAAGAGGAAGGAAAGTGTGAGCTCCAGCCCTCTGCGGAGTAAGAGCAGCCAAGAGGCCCAAGGCACCAGCCCTCTGAAAGCCTTCCCCATCAGAGCTCTGCAGGGCACAGATCGACTTCCCACAACAGTGTGCGGCCAGTGGTTCCTCCCCACACTGCTGGAATGGACAGTCAGCAGCACACCAGCACCAAGGAGCCTGAGATCGAGCTGTTCGTGAAGGTGGGTCTCGGGGGGCGGGGGGCAGTGACTCTTTGGCTCACCCTCACCAAGATCCAGCTGGGTGCAGGTGTCTTCACGCTCTGTGAGGCTGGAGATGGGCACCAGTTTCAGTGTCACTCACCACCAGGGCTGGCTAAATGGTTGCCCAAACGGGAGGAGCACGCGGTGTTGTGGGGACTGTGGGGTGTCGCACTCGGCAGTCTGAGAGATGCCCTGGTCTTGTGATGGTTGTGCGCCCTGGAGAAGTGGCACTGCTGGCAGCAGCATGAGGAAGGACTGGGAACACACATGCCTCTCAAAACCCAGATAAGACAAGCCCCAGCCTGGAACAGCAAGCAGGAGGGCTGGCAGCAGCCACTTCAGCTTCTTCTGAGAGCAGAGTTGTGAAACAAGCATGGATGGCTGGGGGAACTGGTGCGGGAGTCCGTACGTGGGCGAGATGGGGCGGCATCTCAGAAGGGTATTGGCTGGAAATGGTTTCTGGTTTTTTCCCTGTTAAGCAATTTTCTGAACCCTTTCCTTGGAATATTTTAACACTCAAGTTCAAAATATCTGCAGTGACCATGGGCAATGCACAAAGAGAGGAGCCAAAGCTGTTGGCTGGTAACTGTGTCTGCCCAAGCAATGCCAGGAGAGCCCTGGGACACACTGTCAAATGACAATGAGTAGGGGGCAATGCCTCTCTGTGCCACCTCATCAAGGTTTTAAGGGTGGTTTCTCTGTAGGCACTCAGGTCCATGGGCTTCATTGCTCTCCTCCTGGGGCAGTTTGGTGTCCAAAAGGACTGGGTCAGAGGCACTAGCTTCCCTGGCACAGGCACCCAGCAGTTCTAGGCACTGAATGGTGCCTTCCTTGGGTAGTAGTTAGACATACTTGCTAGAAAGGATTATCTGAGCCTTCCCAGGAGAGCTTTTCCCCATCCCCTTGCCAAAATTTTAGCCACAGCACTTCTTGATGGACATTGAGCTTTGTTGAGCTGGATCTGAACAAGTGTATTCTTGGTAAAATAATCTGTCTTGAATTCTCTGCTTAACACTTTTGCTTGGGACGGCTGGAAAAGAAAACAATACATGAGGTGAATGCAATGGCAGCAGCAGCACATTCTAGGGGGTTTTCAGAGGGAAGTGAAACAGAAAACCAGCAGCATCATCAGGACTTCCCCTGTGCTGTAATTCAGCGTGAAAAAACCGTCCTGGCTTGTCTGTTCACAGAAAAGTTGATGCTGTGCCTCCCCATGCCAGCACTCAGGACCCAGCTTTACCAAAGACACAGTGGCTCTAGCTGCTCACAGGAACCTTCCTGTTCCTTCAGCACCTCCCCAGGCTGGGAATGCCTCAGACACAGCTGTTGCTGTGGCCAGTGGCAGCCGTAAATCATGGGGAAAGCTGGTGCTCCCACAAGCGCCTACTGGTACAGCACGGCATGGCATGGCATGGCACGGCATGGCATGGCATGGCATGGCACGGCACGGCACGGCACGCTGCCTAATTTTCACTTTGGCACATGCTGGAGTTACCATGGTAAGGATGGACAGGTGCAGAGCAAGTCCTGCTTTACCCTGAGGTTGGGGTGGGTGGTTCCCAAGGGGCTGGAAGTTTCTCACCCTGCCATGTCCCTAGCAAGAGCGTTGTTTTGTCGGCTGGGAGGCTCTCTCTCTCTTTTTGCAGCTCCACCAGGCATTTAGCTGCTTCCTGGCTCTCAGGGTGGTTGTAGAAGCTGTGGCAGGTCCCATGGGGACTGAATATTTAGCAGTGCCCCAAGTAGGCAAAGCTGTTCCCTCCTCCCACTGCATTAGAGGTTGTTTCGCCATGGGGAAATAGAGGAACTGCGAAGTAGCTTTGGGGTTTCAATGCCCTATGCAGCTTAGTGATGCCTCAGAAAGTCGGGGCTAAAAGCCTGCAACCCTCTTAGAGATTCTGTGCTAGTCCATGCTGGGTTTCTGTATCATCCGAGGGCAAAAGATTGAGGAATGTCAGTCTGTGTCCCCCCTCCCCCTGCCCAGTTCCCGCTGCAGCAGGAGCAGCAGCAGAGGCACTTTGGGGAAGGAAGTGAAAGCAATGACTGCCCCCACTCCGTGCTGCTCTGCGTTTTCCAGGGAGGGAGGGCACATGGTTGCAAGTCTCCTCTGAGGGCTCCTGGCTCCCTGAGGCTCCCCCCACGGCCAGTGGTTGCCAGAAAGGCCCTTCCAGAGCCTGATGTTCCCCCAGCAGTGCCCAGTGGTGCTGGAGCTCCCCTCCAGTTCCTCCAGATAAAGATTTTGGCTCTGAGCATCCTGGTACAGGCCTGATTCTTTCTCCCTGCAGAGGCCATTTTGATTTTCTTTTCACTCTAGTCCATAACTCCCCACCTCTCTATTTTTAAAAGATAAGGGGGAAGACCAGCCTGAACAACTCAGAGGCTGGAGCTACCAGACAAGCATGGAAAAACTTGAAGCAGGTGATCAGAGTCTATGCCCAGAGCAGCCCGAGCGACAGGCACTGCTCCCCTCACTGACCCCCAGACCCCACCACTGTCCTGATGTGGCTTCACCAGAGCTGTGTGCTGGTGGCTCAGCACGACAACTCCTATGGGGACAACAGGACAAATTAAGCCCTCTCATTCCCAGCCTTGTGACAGGCCAGGGAAGTTGAAGAGAGTAGTGAGGAACACATTGGTCCTCATGCTAGGCAGCCACAAAAGCACTTGCTGAGCTGTTGGTTCTGGAGATGCTCCAAAGCATGGCTGTAGTTTGGGTCATGGGTGGCAGGGTGCTGGGGAGGGGGAGCAGAGATGCCCTGCGCTCTTGCCTGTGGGCAGCCCTCAAGGCTGTTCTCTGACTCTCCCCTCCAGCTCCTTCAAAGGAAGACTGAGACCCACTTTCACTCCCTTCCAAAGAAGCCCTAGTTGCTATTGCTCACAGAGGATGTTCCTGAGCTGTAGCCCCTCTGGGAATATTTGCTATTA